TACGGTCCGTGATAGGTTGAAAGGGTGGTTCCTCCTCGATGGTGTGGAGGAGGATGGCTTGCGCTGACGGTGGCGATGGTGCAGCAGTTGGGGCCAGACAACTGTTTACGCAGGCATTTTTACGTAACAGTTGAATAAAATACAATTTAACATTCGGGATACAGGAATACAAACATTGACAACCCGAGCCCCGGACTTGGCCGCCGTAAGAGAGCAGCTCCCTCCTTGTAGAACATAATAGCGCTTCACGACAGGGACGAAGATTAGGAACGAGACAACACAACGCATTGTGTTGTCTCGTTCCTACTCTTCGTCCCTGTCTTAAAGCGCAATTATGTTCTCCAAGTTTCAGTACCAACTCGCCCAAGAATCCGCATTACTCGGCTTCTTTCTCTCCAGCGGTACCGGACCAAAGACTCCCTTTCTTGGTCTCGGCCGTGCTCTTTTTGAGAACAGCCGGTCCCTCTTTCCCATTTTGCCGTGGGGGTCACCGTTCTCATTCGGCACTCCGAGCACAGGGCTAGACGGCGCCTGGCGTAGGAGGCACAGACGAGTCTGGTACTCAGACACAACACATCACCCCTGACACTCCGAACCCCGGCTGGAGGGACAGGTGCCGACAGATGAAGCACAGCGCCCGAGACACTTCTAGGAGAGCGACCGACACTTGTCAATGGGAAGCGACAAACAACTCTCCAAGCAAACACAACCCCATCTGGTGGCACTGGTCGACTACCAGAGAAAAACACCTAACCGCGGAGCCTCCCCAGCTGCAGGCAGCCGAGCGGGGCGCGGAAGGCGACCCAGCTTGCCGCGCCGCAGCCTGTTCCCGAGTAACGGGACACTCGCACCACAAAGGGGGGGGGGGGGGGGGGGGGGGTTCCCCGCCCCGCGAACAAAGTTCTCCCGCCCACAGGTCGTAAACATCCCCTAGTGAACCCCACACGTCTCCCCCAAGATCGTTCGCGCAGGGCCTCCAGACGAAGTAAGACAACAAATAAAAAGGTTCCGGAACCTTACAGGTGGGGGTTACTGTCGTGCTATCAGGATCGGCAATATACGGATAGGAAGATGACTGCACCATAGGCAATCTGCGGTCGCGGCAAGAACCTGCAGGATATCACGTCTATTTTCTCGTACGGTATCACTGTGAGAGAAATTTTAACGGAAAATAATCCGATACTGTTCAGTGCCTCGGTGCAATACCTATTGCACCGAGGTGGGGGTCAGTTTTAACCGATATCCAGCGGCCGGCCCGCTGAAGAATGGCTCTCGAAATTGAGATCTGCAGAGGAGCTTTTGATTAACGCAATGGTTTGCTCTAAACATTTCACTGCCGAAGGTTTCAAAACAAACGATGCATGACAACCGAGGTAAGTTAAAAATGAAAACTGTTCACATAATTGTCACGAGTGGCCCAAGGTAGAGATAAAGCGTGCGCGTTGATACTCGTTCGCATGCTGGGCAGTGTGATCGTCCAAGTTTGGGTTCTTCCGCTGTGGTGTTTTTGGAGAGGATGCGAAATCCACGAACTTATTACTGCGTGAGAATCCGACTGTTGAAACGTTGCAGAATTGTCACTCCTACGAGCCCACCTACACTATGACACAGTAAATGAGGCATCGACTGCAGCGGAAGTGACTCGCTCAGTGTCTGGATGTGCGTCGCACGCACCTGATCAATTTTCTTGAAGTTCGGTCAGAAGTATGCGGTAAATAGGGCTCATGGCAAATTTTAAATAATAGGGATCGCAAGAAATAAAGGGTTTTACGAATGCAGGTTTAACCAATCAGGAGGACGAATCGTGCGATTCTCTCAAAGACGTTTCCGGCGGTTGAAGTTATAAAGAATAGTCCCCCGGCAAGGGTAGTGCACGAAAGTTTATCAATCGTGGCACCTTTTTTGAGTTTCAGATCCAGAGTGTAAGTATTTTTGCTGAGAGCCAACGACTGCAGCACGCAACTCCGCACGTGTATGCTCGTCGACGTGGTCGTTGGAGCCAAAACGCTCCACTGAATAATGTGCCGGGCATTCACAAGTAGTTCGCCTTCTACAAGGCTCCGCTTTCCGTCGGCAATGTACTCCATGATAGTATTCACTGGCATTGAAACTAAAACGAAGGACCGCATCGCAGCACCGACCACAGTAGCAACATTATGTAAGTATTCTGCTTGGCATTCCTTGCCTTCACGTATTTTCACGCTCGTGCAACGATACAATTTCTTCGAAGAAACAAGTATTCACAGCGTAAATAGAGGAGCGTACCCGAAAGCAAGCCTTCATCGTCGCGAGGATCTATGCATCAACGTGCGCCGAGAGCAAACGATGCGCGGTGGTATTGGATCTCAAAGGCCATGCCACACTCGTAGTGTTTCCGAAATCGGCCGCACGGTGGCGACTCTGTTCGATCTCGATTCGAATTCCTGAAAATGCGGCCGCAAGAAAGAAGCAAAATTTCGCACTCGGCCCGCTAGGTTTCTGAAAATAATTTCTCTCGCGCCTTCATTGCCTGTCATAGAAGTTTATAAAACTTAATTTTTATGCGTGTTAAATAATAAAAAGAGACGTTTCAATAAGTTTTTTTTGAAAAGTTGTGAATCTTAAGATTTTAGAAGTGAACCGGACATTGGCATGAACTTTTTTTAAAAATTATAACATACCAGTCATGCCTAATTTTATTAAACGGTACGTGATGTATATCATAAATACTAGGGCCACCCGTTACAAGCATATATATATATATATATATATATATTGTGGTAGGGTGGCCTCCCACAATATATAAGCGATAAAGCGATAAACACGCTGCATGCCCAATTAAGTAAAATAATTAAATAAATATTTACCTAATTGGGCATTAAAATAATTAAGTAAAATATTTGGCAACGGCCCATATCTATTCATCTTTGAATGGAAGTAAAAGTACGACTTCTTTTCAAACGCACTGCTTAATATGACGAAACCGTGCATGTCGAAGAAATTTTATTGTATAAATAGAACACATAGAAAGCTCTTCATATAAAAAAAACTTGAAAAATTTTTCTTTTAAGTATAACTTTGAATTTTCATTTTTATTATTTCTTTTTTTAGTAAACATTGTTGTTTCTTCCATATAAACTATACCTAAATAAACAATATTATAATATTTAAATTGGCTTGGATACAAGCTTTCATTTTATATGTTTCTTATGCCTAAAAAACTTGTACATTTAAAGGTAGCTCAATTGAAATTTAAAACATGACCTATCATTGTCAAAGGTGCAAGATTCAAGCATTTTTATTTTATAAGAAAAAACACTCACACACTTCTAGATAACTTAAACCCTTCTATACGAAGTCTTCAAGCAGTAAAAAAAGTTATAATTTTTGTGAAACAAAGAAAAAAAAAAAGAAAGAATCTAAGTTTCCAGATTTCAAAAAAATGCCGCTCGTAAAAACTGCAAAACTGGCAAAACGAACCTTTTGCCTTTTCGAAGCCCAAAACTCAAGAACAAAAAATGTTCCGTAGTACTAATTTAGAGTTTTGTTCTAGTCACACATTTCCCACCAAGATATACTTTTTTCACAAGTTTTCGAGATCCATCATTTTTTCTCGCACGACTTGAGATGAAATTAGACATGTGCTCTATTCACTCCGCGGTAACCGAGTAATACACCGCGTTCGGAGGGAGTCGATAGCTTGAGGCATCACAGTAATTCGTGCGCCACAAAACTTTTGGTAGTGCGTTTATCTGCCCTTCCGTAACCCACAGCAATCGAACCAGGTTTATTTTCTTCAGGAAACCAATAATGTTCTTACGTTTGGAAGAGCCGACCAAAAAAAGATACGAAAAAAAAAAAGAAGAAAACCGGAACTACGCATTGGTCTGCCGATTGCAGTCGGTATGGAGCTGGTTGGCAAACAAAGTCCAGTGAATAGATTGCAGACGGCGCAGTACAATTACTTCGTTCCATCAAAGGTCGCGTCGGTTTGTCGCGCAATGGAAAGGAGGTCGATTGCGCAGAAGGAACTGCGAGCTGTTTGCCGTCGTTGCTACGGGGCGGCGCTACGTGCTCCTTGCATCGACCACTTCCTTCCTTTTCCTCCTCTCTGATCGTGGAAAGACCAGAGCAAAAGTCGGCGTCGTTCGTGAGCACCTCTCATCGGGAGACGATCGTCCGCTGGCGTGGGTGGCTTCTCTGCTGCGAAGTGTGGAAAGGAGCGCGCGACTTCGGAAGCTGCGCCACCCCGTGTTCTCTCTTTCTCGAGTGTGAACTTCCGGGTGTCCTGCAGTTAGAGGTGTTTCTGATTTCTCCCTGGTTGCGGGGTTAAATCGTCGCCCGGTGCATTGGCCTGGAACTCCGGGCTGTTCTAGACGAAGTTGTGTGTGCGGGAAACGAGTGATCGCAGTTCGTGTCACGTGCAGGATACTGGCGACATGTGTTCTCCGGACTCATCCACGCAGCTTGCGAGCGACTCCAAAATTTAAATTGTGAAAGTCGCGCGATCAATTGCAAGAGAGTTTTTTTTCAAAGAAGTAGCTTGGAAAATTGTAAGTGCGTTTTGAGAGGCTAGAAAAGGTTGCGCTTTCTCGGTAAATATGTAAAAACTCACCTAAAACTTGCTGTCTCGGAGAAAACATTTCTAATTAGATAAAAAAAGTGCGTCCTTATTGCGCTGCAGTTAAAAAATGACGTCGATTTGATGCTAAACGCAGTTAGCAAGGATGAGAAGCACAATGGAACGGGAAGAGGCACGGAGCCAAGGTATAATTTAACGTATATTTAGTTACATGTACATACTTTTGTCGTTTAATGCTTACTACGGATCTTTTATAAAAAAAAGAAAACTTCAAAAAGACAGAAACCATCATAATCCCGCTCTCTAGGTTAACTTTGGTTAACTTTACGAAAAAAAGAAAAAGAAAAGCATCTAGCGTTGTAGCTCGTTTCGCGGAGTGGAGGTCATGAGCAAACTGTGTTAGAGCCCCATGCACTAGCAGTCCTCCGAGCGCATTGCCATGGCGGACATCTTTGCTGTCGGTCTGCACTCCTTCGGAGACGACGTACCGCGCCAAGAGAACGGGACCTGGGTAACCGGCGGCACGGGACCCCAGTCGACGGGACTGCTCTCTTTGCTGTCGGTGATAGGCACAAGTCTCTCCATTGTAGGCGTGGTGCTCACCTTTATTACGTACAGCCTGTTCTCGGACCTGCGCACCCTCAGTGGAACGTCATTGCTCAATCTTCTGGCAGCATTCTTTCTGTCGCACCTCCTCAGCGTCATCGGTGTCGAGCGACCCAGCGACAAGAGGCTCTGCATAACGCTGGGGTTCCTCCTTCACTTTTTCTGGCTGGCTGTGCACTGCTGGTTGGCCGTCATGGCTCGGGACATGTACTCCACCTTCCGAGAAAACATCAATCTGCAGCCGTCAGCCGCAAGCGAAGATCGCAAGTCATTCGTCACAGCCGCTGCCTTTGCCTGGGGTTTCCCCCTCCTCCTGACGTGGCTGGCGGCAGTCATCCACGTGGGCACCGTGCTGGACAGCGACACCGATGAACGAGTCACCTGCTGGATCCTCGGCCGAGGCTCGTATCTGTGGACCTTCTGCTTGCCGGCCTTCCTGTTGGCAATATCAGACGTCCGGTACTTCGTCAAAGCAGCCATTCTCACGCGCTACACGGCAAGCTTGCAGATGAGTCGAAAGACAAGGGATCGAATGAGGCGAAGACGCTACTTGCAGCTGTTCTTGTACGCCAAGCTTCTGCTTGTGCTCACAGTGACATGGGTATGTGGTCTGGCCGCCCAGCTGGCTAGGCTCCGAGCAGTCTGGTTCGCCTTCTGCCTCGTCGCCTCCATACAAGGCTTCTTCGTAGCCCTGGCCTATTCCTGCAACTCCAGGGTGTTCCGCCTCTACAGCAGATCCCTGAGCTCACGCAGCCGCAAGGGCTATGGAGCCTCCGATCTGGCTGGCTCGACGGACCTTGCGTCTCTTACGTGGGAGCAAACTCCAGATGCAGTCTAGCTCATAGCTTGCTCGTAGTTTGTGTATGATCGGCAATGAGGACCCGATAACCCTGGGGACCTTGGAGTTTGCATGGTGCAACTGTGAATTGTGTCGTTCTGTAACATCATCCTAATGCATTGCGTGGACATGAATTATATTCAGATCATCTTCCGCATTATTTCGTTCTATATCCGTGAAGGCGAGCTCAAAGCTACTGCAACACCGATCGTGTCGTGAAGCGATCCTATAGGCTGGTTAGGCTACCCTACGATAGTAGCTTGTGCCGAGGGAAGCAAGAATTCCTAGCGACAGTGCTGCTGTGTGACGTTTATGGGACTGTCTTCTAACAGCGTGAATATTGTGGTAAAGAAGATATTTTATGTGGGGACCGCACCAGTGACCTGCTGTAGACAAGGCGACGAAGATAAATATTCCTGTTGCCTTTGGACAATAGAAGCCACCAAGCAATAGAAATAAACACACAAAGAGGTAGGCGTATTTTGTCATTTTGTTTACATGATCTTTCTTGTTTGTGCCAATTAAGGTTTCCCGTAACGCGAATATAAGGAAGGTATTGAGACATTCGGACCGCAGATATGCACTATAAAGAAGCCAACGCATTTTCCATCGTGATTATTAACGTGCACTATGTGGAGTTTTATCCTTGAGTAAAATAGTTTTTGGCGTATATTTTTGACAATGTATTAAGCGGATATTACAAGATTGGAAGTATTATATAAAGTATAGTTGAAAAAAAAAGTTTGTGGAACCTTTTTAAGCGATGCTCAAGCTGTGAGGAAATTAAACGTAAACGATTGTTATTAGAATTTAGCTTCGCCATCATAACAAAGGTGTAACTCGATTGTAGCGATGTCTTCAGCAAGGTAATTCCAGTCCACAATTGCGCCGGGGAGAAAAGCGTTTTGATGTGCTGCGGAAAAACATCGCGGCCGGGCTATTTTATTACAATGATATAGTTTTTCCTTAGAATCGGTTGGTGGAGAGAGAAGATACTGATTTAGCAGTGTTGAAAAGAAACAACAAAATAACTGTGCAGAAGTCAAAGAGGGAAAAGTTTTTGCCGGGTTGAAAGTAACGGGATAGAACGATTTGACTTTATTAGGGAAACACTGGCTAAACGGGAATAATCAGATTCAATGAACCGAGCAGCGCGGCTTTGAACTGACTCAATATCGTTCGTTAATGCAGAACGGTTAGGGTGCCAGATTGAAGATGCGTATTCTAATTTAGATGGAAACAAATAAATGTGAAGAGCCGCTTTAAGTTAGAACGGGCGTATATGAAGTTACGACGAGGGTAACACAAACTTCGGTTGGCAGATCACACTACTGAATGAATATGACTATCCCAATAAAATATTTGTATTTAGGAGAACACCGAGATATTTGTATGCGTTAGTTTGGTCTAGAGTAACTTTATTAAGAGTAAGAGGAGTGGAGGCTTCAAAGAAGGAACAAGAGAAGCGCACGCATTTACATTTGTTGACATTGAGGCAACTTTGCCAAATATTACACCAGCTAATAACAGAGTCAAGTTCATTTTGTAATGATAAGGAATCGTGGCGGGATGCTATTGTGCGATAAACGATACAGTCGTCTGCGAATAAGCACAGTGATGAAGTTACACGAACCGGAAAATCGTTGATGCAGATGAGGAAGAGAAGTGGACCAAGGACTATTGCCTGTGGCGCGCAAATGTTACGGGAGCTAAACGAGATGAAAAACCGTTTGCATATACAAACTGAGGAAAGAGTTAATCCAGGAGAGTACGTTGGTGTCAAGGTTTAAGGAGGAAAGTTTTAGGAGCAGACGGTTATGCAGTACTTTATCGAATGCTTTAGCAAATTCAAGATACACAGCATCAGTAGGAAAACCGGAATCGAAGATAATAAAAAGGTCATTAGTTAGACAAAGAAGCTGCGCTTCACAAACGTTTCTACAGAAGCCGTGCTGCGTAAAAAAAAATGAAATGGAATCAAGATGAATAGATAGTTGTTTGTGGATTATGTGCTAAATAATTTTCGAAGGTGCAGAAGTGAGAGATAGAAGCCTGTAAATTAAAGGAGATGACAGGGATGATGTCCTTGCCGATTTTCCTGTCCTCTGGAACTACTGCCTTATCGAAAGACTGCTAGAATATTTTAAGTAAAAAAAAAGGCTTGAGGAACATTTTGTACACTGTAGTATCTAGGAGTTGATGGTATTGATGCCACAAGATGAGGACATTTTCATAGATTGAAAAATTTTGACACCTTTAAAGTCAACAGATATTGTGTTTCTACAATGAAGGTTGCAAGCGATGGGTGATACAACGCGAGAGCACTACTGTTGGCGAACTGGGCAGAGAATATTTCATTTAGGACTGAAGCACACCGACATTTCTCTGTGGGATTTTCAACTCATCAGCAAGTGTAGTAGGAAGCACCGGATCATAATTAACAACTTGCGAAAATTGATGTGGGTTATTGAGTAGCTGGCATGGAAGGGTTTCCTGGTAAAAAACAGGTTTAGTACGTTGCTCAAGCACGCCTTTGCACTTAATTTCACATTTATTATACCTATCCCAAGATTCAACTGTTTTTCTATTTTTTTACTGTTGGCCAACGACATTTTTTCTTATTACTGAGTGCTTTGAGTGAATACAAATACCACGAGCTAGAATATTGGGAGCTTATAGTTATGCTGGGAGCATATTTTTTTCAATTAGTTCTAATTATTTGTTACTGAATTTACACAAATTGTCGTTCACATGGCTACTGTCAGTCACGAATAAAAACCAAAAAGTAATTGAAAAGGTTCACGTTAAACTGTTCATATTGTTTTTGTTATAAATCTTATTTTTGTAGTATGTCTGACAGCTTTTGGCGCTTGGAATCCAAGGTCAAAGTACACCGCTTTGTGGTCACTTACAGCTTGGAACCCAGACAAAGAGGAGATCCATTCAGGGTGGTTGGTTAAAACTAAGTGTAATATGTTCAAACATGTGTCAGTTGCTTGAGTTGGAAGCGAAACTATCCGAAAGAAATTAAAATGTAGACAGAGATTTACGAAATTGCGACATACACTAGGGCCCTCAACGCAAACATGACTAGGTAAATTCCAGTTAATATCTTGAAGGTTAAAATACCCTACTAAGAAAGCAGAATGGTCAGTGTTGTGATTACAAGATAGATAGTTCGTCCTGTATGGAAGATACAAAACAAGATAACGCATCGGGTGGCCGGTAGCAGACGCCAGGTGCAAGCTGACATTGATTTAAAACCACATTTCCCCAAAATCCAGATTACTTGAGTTGTAACGGAGACGAAAATAAGTGAGCTTTGGATCTTTTCATGCGCACATATTAAGACACCGCCACCACAACGATCTTACCGATCGCATCTATAAATGATAAAGTTAGTATGACTTTACAATATTTGATTGTGTTCAATATTAGGATGACGCCAGGCCTCAGAGATTATTAGCGTCTTAGCATCACACATTAACCTGAGCGCATTTAAATACAAAACGCCAATACGAGAGCTAAGAACGGAGTCCTTTCGGCTCCCACTCCCTGCACGGGCCTACCCACGAGTCTGAATTACGGAATCCGAGGCTGCGTCGTAATTGAATATCTCAGGACCCATGCGCAGTTCTCGAACCGAAGTTTAAACGAACGAACCTGTGATTTAGCAAACAAAATAGGTTTTTGACGTGCGACGCGGACAGTTTTGGAAACTCTTTGGAACTAGAGAGAGATGTAAAATTTAGTTTGGGGCCCACCAAGAAGTAGCTGTTTTTTTTGTTTGTTTTGTAGGAATAAAAGTTTACAATAACAGGTCTGTCCTTTCCCTGTAGATGTGCTCTTAGCATGGGCGTACCGACCGGGGGGGCAAGGGGGTCGCTTGCCCCCCCCCCCTCTCCCCCCCCCCCCCCAGTTGTCAGAGTGGGGGGGGCAAGGTATGTGTTTTGCCCCCCCCCCCCCACCCCCTCAAACAGCCGCCACCGCAGGCGGGGCCAACACTGGCCGGCGGTGCCCAAGGGATACCAAGGGCATGCCCCCCCCCCCTCCCCCCCGCCCCTGGGACGACGGGGTCTGGTTTGCCCCCCCCCCCCCCCCCCCCCCTCAGAAACAAGTTGGTACGCCACTGGCTCTTAGTCTATGCGAACGTTCAATCTGAGAGCTATCAAGCGTTATTCTAAATTTATCTTTCGCTAAGTCCGCGAATTGTTCTTCAGTAGAAGCCAAAGACTCGCCTAGGCTATCAGGTAAACCACAAATTATTAAATTTCATCTGCGCGAACGATTTTCAAAATCATCAAGCGGGACATCATGGTTTCAGTTGCAGCTCTTTGCGCGATGACAGAACATAAAGAGAACATATTTCTGCTTTCGTCTGTGCGAAGGGTGCAACCTATCGTTCTACGGACTTTAGCTTCGTATTAAAACCCGAACCCGAGTTTTCAAAGTTTTCCTGTCTATTAAGTATTGCCTTGACGTTTATTTTTAGAGCAGCTTGGCCCGTCGCTAGGCCCGTTATATTTGTGTCAAGTCTCTGCATCAATACGTACATAATTTCAATTTACCTGGGATCGGTTCTTGGAGGGATGGTGTTGGTTTCGACGTCACCAGAGAGCAAATGTAAAATTAAAAAAAAAACACTGAAGCAATCACTGGCAAGACAAAGTAGCGATTTGGGGCATGGGAACTATAAGATGTACACAAAGCTGTATTTTGTTAGCATGTAGCGGGAAACGTGTACAAACCTGCACGAGAAGTAGCATGTTGATTGTGAGAGTTTATGTCGTTATGGCGCTCCCCAGCCCACTGGAGGGGGCGTGGCTGGTGGCGTCCTTATGTAGGCTGGCCGTCGGATATCCTGGGAACCTTTCCAACCCAGCTGACGTCCAGGTGCTTGGACGCAGGTTCCACTAGTGTCCGATGAATGACGCGGCAGGAAACGCTGAAGAAACGTAGATCCGGGAAAAGTGCTGACGGCAGAGGCACTGCCCAGTGACTGCATGAAGCCAATGACGAGCAACGAGAGCTGCACAAGAGGAAGCATGTCCACTGCGATGTCGTTATGGCGCTCCCTAGGTCGCTATTGTTTTTTGTGAATTGGGTTTATTCATAAGCACATCAGAAGTAGGTAACTTGTAGAACTAGCTTGTGATGC